TCGCTCTATAGTGACTCACCAGTTGATGTGTCTTTCTTCTTTGAATGTGAAAGATAAGCGCTTCATGAGCGATCTTCTTCACCTTTGAAGCATAAAGAAAATACAACTTTTGTTTGAATACAATAAAATCTCTAAAGATCTTTGCCCCCTTTCATATTTGCGAAATATTTGATTGTTTTCTTTTAATTTATAATGTTTTGTAAATTGTTTTTTAAACGTGGTGTGAAATTTTGAACCTAATTTTTTGATTTTGTATTTTTTAGGTTACAGAGATTTTGAAATAGATGAAGGGAAGAAATCAAAACAAAAGATTCTCAAAAGGTTCGATTAGCCTTATCTTAAACATGCATATATGTTGTGGTGAATTTCAGTTTATGAAGCGCTTTTCTTTTCAAGAATTTTGAGGGATATGTGTTTGTGAATCATTTGGGTTTGTGGAAAGTTCGTAGCTTTCGAGGGATTTGATCTATTGGATACTCACAAGAATTTTTTTTCTTCTTATTACACAATTTTCTTTGGTCGGTTTCACTTTAACACTTTGCTTAGATTTGAACAATGGGTTTGGATTATTCTATTACTATTCTGAATATTATAAGCAAGTAATAGAAACTGAAACGCTTTGTGTGTGATTCACTTTACTTGAAGCTTTTATTATTCTTCTGAGCCAAAATCGTCTCTAATAGCTATTAACTTTCCGAGGTTTCTATTGTTTGTTGCAGCTAAAAAGATGGATTCTTCTTACTACTATGCCTTGGCCGCCAAGCAGTTATATTTTGCCAAAACTCAGTTTTCAGAATGTAGACAAGAGATTTTGGGGTGAGAAGATCAACAATAATGGTTTCTTTAAGCGTTTTGCTTCGGATTCGGGATCGAAGAAGCTCGGGAATCGGAAGTTCAAGCACAGTAGTGTTTACGCTGTTGCCGCTTCAAAGAATCCAAAAGAGACTATGGTATGTGGATCAGTTTACTCTCTCTTGCTTAAATGGCATTACGCTTGCTATGTGTCAATCAGATTCATTGGTACTTTAAACAACGGTCTTAAGAATTGTCTAATCGCTTCTTTTCATGTCCTGCAAAATTACAGAGGTCATAATTCTGTTTGCTGCTCTTGGTTTTTGCAGACAGTAAAGCCTTCGATGTTTTAGAGAAGGAAGGCAGACTCGAAAAACGTGGCTGCAATCATTCTAGGAGTAGGCAATGGAGCTCAACTCTTCCCTTTTACAAAGAGAACCGCGATTTCGGCTGTAAGTATTCATCTTTCTTCGGTTTCTCTTTCGGAGAAAACAAAATTGTAAATAACAATCATGGAGATTAGGACTTCAAGGGTCTTATCTATAAGATACTGATTTTTGTAATGAAATGAAGGTTCTTACGTCTCAAAATTATTCAGGTTCCTTTGGGTGGATGCTACAGGCTGATCGATATACTGATGAGTAACTGCATTGACAGTTGCATAAGCAAGATATTCATGCTTACACAGTTCAACTCGGTTTCCCTCAATCGACATTTAGCACGCACTTATTTTGGGAATGACATTAACTTTGGAGGTGGTTTCGTAGGAGGTATAAACACTAGAACAATGAACAATTTCAGGTTTCTTGATTTTTAATAAAGCAAAAGTAAATCTCATTGAATAGGTCCTTGATGCTACACAAACACCCGGGGAAGCAGGAAAGAAGTGGTTTCAAGGAACAGCACATGCTTAGAAAATTCCTCTGGGTGTTTGAGGTATGAACTTGTGATCACTTTTACTGCTTTATCAATATTAAAGTCTGTTCCTTTGTGATCTTTGAAGTGGTCTAAAAATTGTTGATATCTCTTAAATAGGATGCCAAGAAAAGGAACATTGACGGG